CTATCTTCGTGGGTCACAGTAAACTTTCACTCGAATGTAAACAGTGACCGTCTATGTAATCGTTCATAAACAACAGTATTGAACTAGATTTAGTTGAAGTGGTGACCATTTTTATCGATAAGAACCCTAACATTTTTTCTATATACAATTTGTGACGACAGAACACGTGACGTCCCCCGACAGTGTTAACATATAGGATGTTGTCGGCACAGAGTCCAGGATAGAGAAGGGACATCTTCGTAATACAGTATGTTAGCTTTCGGTGGCATTGTTGCATCCGTCGAGGATGTGTACGGAGACAAATCCGATCACGCTGACGGATCATGGCGGGTATCGTAACGATTCTTGGACTGGCATAGTAGGCACGGATAAAGTCGTGTTACAAGAAAGCTACATGAAAGGTCACTGCAATTAAGCGATACATAACCGTGCACCGAGAACATAGGCATTGATATCTGCAGGGGTACAAGTGGGGTCATGATCCGGGGTCGTGACATACTGATAATGCTTTCTATTTATAGTAACATTCACATCATTTATAAACACATGCAACAGGAACAACGCACTATATTTTGGTATCTCACTAACCGCATTTCCGGTTGCGCCCCGCCCACGCTTTCTTTGGGACTATGTGCCGGCGGAAGATCACGATTTATTGTTTAACCCGGTCGCGTGCCGTTCATTTTGTTGATGTTGTGTTTGGGTGGTTTACATCAATTTCGAGAACGACGGGATGTTAATTGATTGTGATGATCTCCCAGGGTTTATCTCGTGTTGGAATGACTGTTGTGTAGCATTATACAGTCCAGCCTTCACTGAAAAAAAAATGACGCACGATTAATTGTAGAAATGATGTCGTTAGATTAATTGTACAAAAGATGACGTAAAATCTTAGAGGATTGGTTTAAAAGCAATAGCTGCATTTTCATCATTTTTTTTCCAGATTTTTTAATCCATGAAACACGAAGCTAAAATTACCTTGGCACCAAATGAGTAAACACGTGACTATACGTCACATTACACGTGGCTGTACGTCACATAACATGGAATGTATATTGTGTGAGTGATTATTCTTTTCATTTTGAGTGCTTGTTGTTTTTTCTTTATTTCTTTCATTAGTTTTTAACCATTATTGCTCCTGTGTGGGTGAGTATGTGTTTATTATAAGTAAATACATCAAGGTGTATATAAACTGATTTAGTCAAGCTAAAAACCTTTGAACTGCGTAGTATGCTTACCAAATTTCGTCTTAGTGACCATAGTCTCAAAATTGAAACGGTCGTCATAAAAAAAAAATCACCTTAAACAACAGGGTTCAGTTTGTGACATGTGTAACAAAGGTCTAATTGAGGATGAAATACACTTTCTAATGGAATGCAACAAATATAATGAGTTGCGTACCAATTTTTTCAATAAAGCTAAGAAAAGGTTTTGAAGTCAGGAAGCAGTATCTTACTTGACATGTTAATGCCGGCTGTCTAATATTAACTTTTACTTTTTTTTCTGTTATGACAAATTTTACCTATTTTTCATTGTTTAGTATTTTAGTGATTTTGGATTATTTAGTAATTTAGTGACTGTATTTTGTTATTTAGCATATTGTTATCTATTTTTTTTCTTGTACCTTGTGACTATTTCCTTTTCCTCCGGGGATTGTGCATGAGTCAATAAGTAAATACATAAATAGCGTGGATGGTTTTCACTATTGTTTGTCTATATATATACTGTTTGTACATTTGGTAAACAGTTATTTTTGCCCAGTAACTGACACAATGACGAATAACGTAGCTAATACGTCAAAATAATAAAATACATGGAAAACATTACACATTTTTGTATCTACTAAACGTTTATTCCTGGGCGATGAAGTTGTTGTTTTTCACCAAAAGCAGGATTTCCTGTATAATTTCGAAATTGTACTTTCAATGCTCTCGCGGTGTGCGGCACACTTGACGGAAGGAGAGGCCTTGGCAACACGAAGATTAACACGTTTCACTTTAGACTAGGAAGTCGTACTAAAACTGACAACATGTGATAACAGTGTCTAGTTTCAGTTGACGGTTTGAAAGGACGATCCATATTATATGAAAAACTGAAAAACGGGTCAAAGTTGTAATTTGTATATAAAGCACATTGCGACAACACGGAGATAAATCCTTACCTACAAGGAAGTACTACTAACAACTAACAACATGAGATAACAACATTTGGTTTCGATAGACGGTGTGAAAGGACACACAGAAAGCTGAATTGATCAAGTAAACGTCCTACTATTTCGTACTATACGTGACAGTAATATTTATGATGCAGCATAAACACATCTTGGAGGGGAATTAAATTCAATGATTATCCACAGTCCCTCTATCATAGAGGGACTGTGGATTATCGAATTGCTTTAAAGGGGGAGTTGTCACATGCGCATGCGTCAGATGGCCATAGCGTGTCGCTGTTTACAAACAAGCGTCTACCCATGAGCCTTTGCGTTTTTAGCGTGTGTTGTTATCGTCGCTTGGGACTCAATTCCCGCGCGTGCGCAGGTGACGACCCTCCCGCTTTATATTTCTTTTATGCTGCTACATATGTAACATTTCTTTCATTAAATACTGTCAAAGTAAGCAATTACTGCTCAATGAGTCTAGTTGTTACATTTCGTATTCAAGTTCAAATTTAAAATGTTTCCCAGTGCAATATATATACGCAATCGTTTAGATTCTGAATTGTAAAATGAGTTTAAAAACAATTTGACGAAAGTAGAAATGACATCATCCTCGTGAAAAATCGCAATCCAGGAAGCAAAATTCAACTCCAAACAACAACAACAACAACAACAACAACAACAACAAAACATCACATATATACAACACATTCACCGTTGTTGCCATACTCCGGCCTGAATTATCCAAACCAGTGGCCATCCCGGAAGTACTGTTCCATTTTGTTTTCTTAGAGAACCTACTGTGTAAATCATTTGCTTGTTTTTGTTTGTTTGTATGGTTCCCTAGCACTGGCAGAAATGGGTTATTGGAAAGCGCGTTTACATTTTGTTACAATATCATTTACCGCATATGCGCATTAATGTTTTTCGTTTTAAATCGAACGAATACTGTACAGCATGACACAAAAATAACATACTTTGGTTTCTGAAAAATCATACTGCAATTTGTTCATCAGCATGCATTATAAAACAACAATATTGAAAAATATATGTTTTTGTTCATATTATATTTTCATATCGGAACTACAAGGGTAAAGTTGCGTAGTGCATATTAATAAGCGTGTCCAGAGTGTTTCGTTCTACAATTCACGGTGAATCCCCTTTTAGGTCCCAATATATATAGTGATCACATAACACAAATGGATGCACTCCACTACTTAAATGTCAATTGCACCAAAGCAAGTTTTTGAAATTTCTATCATTTAAAGTGACACAAAAAATAAATAAATACAAAAAAAAAAACAAAAAAAAAACTGTGTTCAACCATAGACCCTCCAGTAGATCTACTGGAGGGACTATGGTTCGACCCGTGGCCTCCTCTCTACTATTGTCTGACGATTCAGTGCTCCATTATCAATGCCATCAGTTATTATTCAAAGGGTGGGCTTAGTACTCAATCAACAAATTACGATGGCATCCGATACATGCATACATACATACATACAAATATTCTAGTATTACCATTACCCCCATTCTCCGCGGGACGTTTTGACACAAAAATCATCATTCCTACTGATATTTCATAGAAAAAGTCGCAAGCATCATTTTTTTCTCACAGTTGAGTCTCAGATTTCAAAGTCGTCACCGTTATCACTCATTTGGGTATCTCTTCACGTGACAGTAGTCGTATTCTAATACTCCTGCTTCCGTTGCCACCAGGGTTTTACCAGGCATTCATCAAAAGAGTCTCTTTCACTTCTTTTCACCTAAGTAGTCTCGTTCACTTTCTTTTGAGACGTACGGATTATATAAAAAGTCACTTTCGGGACGGGACATTATTAAACAGAGGAGACATCGCGTCGGAAGCCAACAAGACGCCCCTCGTCGGCCTAGTACTCACTTTTTTCTCGCAACGCTCTGGCAAGAATACACAGTGAAAGGTGGGTGACGAGTAGTAAACATTTATCGGATTACTTTTCAACCTGCGTTGCGGTGTGCGTTGTTATCCACGGATCTATAGCTCTGTGATTTTGTTTTTGTATAAGAACACTTTCCCAAAAGAACGACTTTGTGAACGATCTGAATAACTGGGTTTTCTGACTGATTACCAACTGTGTTATTCTTTACAGGTACATTCATCGAATTATATCGCCAAAGTTAACATAGAACTAATACTATTATACAGAGTCTTGTGACACGTCAGACAGGGACAGAGTACATGGTGTATAGAATATACAGTCATATGCCAGCAGCTACACTTTGGTCAGGAGCAGTAACTATTGCGATCACGGCGTGCGGTACTCTATGAAACTGTTGGTTTATTTGTATTACTACGGGCAAGACACTCGAACCATACAGCCCATGTACTCGTGTTGTTGATAAAATAAATCAACTGGAAACACACAACGACATATACAAAATTTCAACATTTTAAAATCAATTTTGACTAAATCAGTGATTATAAAAAGCATTATCACGCACGCACAGTGTCTTTAATTGTCATGGCGTCACCAGTACCGTCGATCAGCGATCTCGACACATCTGGAGACAACGACATTGAACTTTCACCCTGCCAGATGGAATTAGGTGGTAAGTTCGTGCAAGAAGCTGCACAAATAAACAGCCAACAAGATTATGGAATCCATTACGGCGATATTTTGAGACAGAAACTATTAGAAGCAAAGCACGACGCACCATCCTTGGAAACAGGCAACAAGGAAGTTGGCAACACTATGCTTTGGCCAGGAAGCGTCGTCACCATGGAAACATGGACGAATTTACGTCACCAAGATAGACAAGACTTGTTGAGCAGTGCCAATAAAAAGGGAGAAGGTATCGGTTTATCGACAGATAACCGAATTTTGTTTCCTGCAACACTACCAAGTCGGATCACTATGCCGCCCCTAGCTCCAGTCACAGAGGCGGCGACTGTACGAAGAAAGCGATTGATGGCAAACGAGTCGCGTTTTACATGGAAAGGAACACGGCGAATGTTTACGAACACGAGAGAAAGATGGAGACAACAAAACAACAACATCGCGTTTGCAGAGCTGAGAAAACTGATACCAACTCACCCGCCCGACAAGAAACTGAGCAAAAACGAGATTTTACGATCCGCAATGAGATACATAGACTTTTTGGTGAAATTGAGAGACGATCAAGATAGGGCTACTACTGCTTCGTCATCACTTAGTAATCATGGAAACGAGGCTAATATTTGCATCGACGAGAATGACAAACAATCAGATATTTCTTTATTTTCATCTCCTGGATTGTCGGGCACAAGCGATTTTGATGATAACGATTTGGACAATATATTTGTCGACAGTTGCGAAAATGGATCTGATTTATTCTGACCGTGTCAACAAAACACTGGGACTCGGAATGGACATTAACAGTCGGGAACCACGGGAACCTAATTCACAGTTGGCCGTTCATGAATGAAACTGACTTCAGAGTCTCGACAAACATTGACAATTATACGACACTAAGTCGACATGCGTGAATTGTTGTAATTTGTAATATGTTCATCAACAGGTAGCTAAATTTAATGTTTTTTCTTCAATATTGACAGTTCTGTCGACGAGAATTGCAGTTTATGCACTATATACAGCGAGTAATGTTGATAATCATGTAAGAGAACACTTTATGTTTATTCTGTATATTTTTTCCATTTATATTATATTTTAAGACGTCAAATTTTCCTGCTTAATGTGCAATAACGTCTCTCAACTAAGGTTACAGATTTTTTCATATCGTCGATGTTTTCAGCTTTCTGGAATTTGTTATTTTCAATACAGTTTTCCTTGTTAGTGGAATATGCACCACGAGAAAACACATTGTCGTCACATTTCGATGTAACCAAATATATAGTTATGATAGCACTAAATGTAATTAAAATTAAAAATCAAAGGATTTCGTGTTTGTCATTGAATTTCATTTCATACAAACATTTTAGGAAGATTTTTTTAACGAAAGAATTATATCTCTGATTCTCCCACTTTTTCCAATGTGACAAACCGGATCGGAAGCATAGATGTTCCCTATATACTGTGGGTAACATATCACATAGTGATATTCTTGACGCTATTTGGTGAATCGAGTTCGGTGTTCATAGTGTTGTATCGTATTTTCTATTTTTGAATTATGCAAATTTAAATAAAGAAGCCTTACAATACGTATTTGCAATATAAATGTTTCGCGACATGTGTACAGAGAGTATGTTACAACGTCATGTTACCATAAGAAACACTAGTCGGTTATCTTGGGGGAATTAATTCTCGTGCCTTTCATTCCTATTCTCCTTCCCAGAGTTCTTTGCGATGAGAACACCGAAAGTAACTCTGCTACTAGATTTTATAATTCCGATATGAAATTACCAATGCGAGAGATTCTACAAACTCTCTCTTTGAGAAATTAACATATAAAACAATAAACTTGCCATGACTTGGCCAGTCTACTCTGTCACCACACACCGCCATTTATTTAGTCGTAGAACTATGCATGGGAGATAGTATACATTGGCTGCAGGGCAAATAAAACGACTTTGTGCTCATTGACGTCACGTGCATATAATCCGTAAGCAAATTGAAGAGACAAATTACTGAACGATCGCAGAAACTAGAACATAATGTAATAATAATACCGTTTGAAGTAATTTCGGAAAATTCATTGCACTACGATAGTATTGCACATTGAACAATAACTACTCTAATTTTACGTTTACCTGTTCTATTTGAAAACCCGATATTGGCCAATAATTTGCTTTAAAAAATAAGACAGAGTTAAAGTATGAATAATATTTTATCATGTCCAATAATAAAGATATCTCTAAAAATATATTTTTTTAAGTAAAACATTTTCTTTTATGCCATCGATAAAAAGCCAATGCACGAAACGTCTAGCCGTTTTTAATAGTTACTTAGGACAGCAATTCTACCATAGTATCTACCATATATCATATTCATCGATGTGAGTAGCGTTTATTTATTAGTATATACTACTTTACGAAATGGGATCTTTTCGGGTCTGTACTTAAAACACCAATTTCATCCGGTCGCATTTATAATGGTTTTATTTAATATAGAATAAATTTCAATATTTGTAAAGTTTCAGTCTGCAGTTCGACTCAATATAGTTTCTTTTCTTTATTCATATACATACATGTGTGATAAATATACAGAAACTATTTGCATTTGTCTCTACAACAGGTGAACGGAGTCTGAAAGTAGTGATAGTCATTTAATCAATACCTAATCGACCCCTCTGGTAGCCACTATAACATTGAAACATGAATAAATTCTGTTCCAGTGTTAATAATAATGAAAAGTATGTACATAGACAATTTATACATTTATACAGTCTCAGACTTTGACATGACTAAGTGTCCGTGTCGCTGACAATTGTGATAACTGCAGTGGGTGTTCCAATAGATGAAATGGCTGATAAATGATTTTGATATTGTTGACCACTTGGTGGCGCAGTTGCATGTGATACATGGGTCAACAAGCTGCAACATTTGCCGACACATGTTGATCCGTGTATCATGCAATATTTACAAGTTGGAAAAGCACGCCATCAATAACTTGCAACTTGTTGCAACGAATAGCATGTCTCTATCGCAAACAACAATTTTCAGCATGTTGCGGCACTCTATCAACATACAACGTGCAACAAAAGTTGACCCGTGAGACAGCGACAGTCAGTGGTAACTGGGTGCAGTGAACGGGGGTACGATGGTCTTGGATGTAATGTTACTAGTATTTCATTCCAACTATTATGTCTATTATATTTAAGTAGGATCAAGCATTTAAAGGGCGGTGGTTCCCTCATGTATTAACTCCACATACCGCGTAAAGTATTATGTTTACTTCTAAAATGTGGTCTCTGACACCAATGTTTTTTTCATATACGATCGTCGGCGTTCGCCAATAACATTAACATAATATTCGAGACTGCACAATATATGTATGCTACAATGGTATTACTCATTTAAAAAAACGAGCTGAACCGACACAAATACGATTTAATATGTTTCACAATTTCGATAACCATCATCGAAAAACACGACCATCTTTTTTTTTATGCAGATGTGTGCGCACGATTTTCTTTCCTCATTATTACTTGACCACGAGAGGGCGGTAAATACAACACTACATCTAGACAGAAAAAGTAAAATTTAGAAATGATATGAATAATGCTATCGTTACGAATCAATTATTACAAAAAAAAAAAAAACGTTCAAGATTCTCGACATCATCGAAAGTCTGGTTGATTTCATAAACAATGGAACCTTTTTTTCATACATAAACGTTGCCACTTGGTGGCGCTGTGAGCAACCAAGCAAGAAATGAGGCGGAATTAGCACACACAGTGATATAGGATGATCTCATGTGGCTGCAGAGCACAAACATTGGCACGCGACATCATTGTTCCAATGGAAATATAATCACACTATTTTCATTCACACACATGTTTTTAAAAATGACCTACTGAGCATTTCAGAAAGTCACGAATGTGTTTAGGGATTGACCAATAAAAATCATGGGGTGGTAGCCGGAAGATTTGAAAACGAAAATGTGCAAGCTAATCACCAAGAGAAGAAATTAAAGCAAGGTGTTGCTGGAAAATACTGTTGGCACATTCAAGAAAAAGAAAAATGTACACTATTCCAGTCACGATTTCAATTGATTGACCCTATCATGATCCTATCTTTGGTGCCTAAAAATTAATGTCTTCTGTGCACAACAAACCTGTCCCCTTCATCTTTATAAATATTTATAAATGTCACAATTCAAAATGAAACGATTGCAGATTGAATAACAATTTTCAAATGTTAATGCACACAGCCCTCTCTGACTGGCTAGTACGTTAGCTGATTATAAATATTCATGAAAAATGAAGGAAACAAGTTTGTTGTACTGAGAGTAATAATACCATTAGAAATATATATTCATATTACTAGTCCAAAACGTTTTTTTACCCATTTTTCAGATACACCGGGTTTCATGGTGACGTGAATGGACATTTCATCCTGAAAGACCCTAACCCTTCATTTAAATTAATAAAAAGATGATTTCATTGACTGTAGAAAGCATTGAATGTTTGACGGGTTCGTTCAATCATTGGCCGATTCACTGTCATGAATGCAAATTTGTATAAAATGCTTGAAAGTACAGTGATTCGTTCACTAATATAAATTTAAAAGAATGCAGGTACCATTATTGTTTGTCACATGACAAATTAGAAAAGTGAGTCAATGTCAATGAAGAGATTTAAAAATTAACTGAACATGGTGGAGTTCTGTATAGGTGGTATTCATCTACTACTAAGGGCTGTGATTGGTCAATTTGTTTTTAATTACAATTTTAAATTAATAAAAATTTATAACAAGCAGCCTATCGGCTGAGATAGCTCCGCTGTTAGCAATGCACATTTCAATTAAAGAACTGAAGACATCATTAGAAAATGAACAATATGAATAGTATCAAAGCAATCGGACTTACAGTTTTTAACAAGAAGTCGAAAATATCACTTTTTACCAAAAAATATTCACCAAAATTAGAGAACTGAAGATATCATCACAAAATGAACAAATCTGAGAGAGGTCCACATGTAGTACCTATATATGTAATATCAAAGCAATC